CTTTACTTTATTATTTTTTTTGTAATTTTCGTGAGTTAAATAAAAGTTTTATAAATTACCTTGAGGGGGGAAGTTCAGCGGGTATAGCGACGAAATCGGCAACTGGCATGAGATGGCAAGATGGCAGTAATGCTCCGATAGGACCGTGATAGGCTCTTGGTCCTTTAGTTGGTCCGTCCACTTTTTCGATCATATGCTTCATTAAGAGCTCGTTAAAGTGGAGTAGACAAACAAGCCATTGCAGTGGTCTCTTCTGTTGCAATTCCATAAGCCGAATAACACCACCCTTGTGTCCAGTGTTAACGGATGTCCCGTCACAGCCGATGCTCGTGATTTTCTCCACGCTAATGCTTTTGCTCTCGAGGTGCGATACAAGGCTATCCTTAATGGACACAGCATGACCTAAAATCAAAAAGGAAATCTTGTTTAACATGCGTATAATCAGGTGCATAAAAGTAATAAGATATAAAGTGTAAACTTACCGGAAGTAGGCGTCGAGTGACCCACAAACCTAGATCCCGGTTCAGCAATGATAGAAATGTGTTCCTCTTTAACTTTCTTGCGTCTCCATCCGTTGGCCGTCTTCTCAAATTTCATGGTCGTATCCTTACGTCCATCAAAATACAGCGACTGAGGCTCGTCTATCCTGTTTTCCTGCAACAAAGTATTACGTGCTTTTTCTCTTTCCCGACGTACCTTGCTTCTGTCAATAATGGCTGAAGTATCGTTTTCCTGGATAAGACCAACGTCGAGGAGAAGAGCAGAGGCGAGGGCAGCTGCTGCTCGGTCGGGAATACCAAACCTTAGGGAAAAAAAACAACTGTTAAAAACATATTTTTTAAAACTAAATCAAATTATTATGCAAATAGCTTAATTAACAAAGTACCTGTCACAAACCGTGGCGAAATGAAAAAGGTTCATTCTATTCTGATCATCCTCTCCAGTAGGCGGCACATACGGTGGGTCCTTAGTATTATCTCTACCATCTGTATTATCAGAATTGTGCACGAAATTATGGTCCATGCCCTCCGTCATCCCTAAAACAAAGTTAAAGAATAGTTATTAAAATGATTATATCAAAATCAGTATTTGAAGTGACTAATAGTTCAAAAGCTTACCCGATGTTTCCTGTTTTTTGTCTGTAGTGTTGCGATGATGAAATGGTTTGCAGCGGCATTTCGATTGCTTGCATTTACAAATCTGTATATCAAAAACAGCGTCACACCTTATTAAAAAATCTCTCAGGTTATTTTCATGGTTTTTAGGTCTATCTTTCTTTTGGTGTGCTTTTATCAGCGCGCTGTATTCCGACAGTAGAGAGTCGATTAATCGTTTAATTTGCCTTTCACTTAGCAAGTTTGGGTTACTTGGATCCTGCGTACAATGTTCAACTAATTTTGTGGATACTAGTTGTATTATAGAGGCACGTGATGGATTATGTTTAAGTTTCTGTAACTCTTTATAACGGAGGAACTCATAGTAAAGCAATACTTGCCTCTTAGTTGGCTGAGCACCATCTAAACAAAGATCTGTGGGGAAGCCCAGAATAGGGCATTCTTGAATTTTTTCCAGGCAACTGGCCATGGCAGCTTTCTTATTATCTAGTTTATAAAACAAAATATCACTTAAACCAAAGTGGTGTGGTTTAGAAAATTGGGATAATCTTTATCCCTTCAAATAATAAAA